GTCAGTATATTTATGTCTTCATCTGTAATTTTCACTCCATGCATCTGAAGAAGTGGGGTTTTTACCCACTGTAGGGGGGTGAGCACCTGCTCCAGCACTGAAGGGGTTTGAAAAGCCCTGCAGAGGGCTGGGGAAGGGAGTGAAATCCTGGCTGATTGGGGGAAGTGGCGGCAGCTGAGGGCCATGCCCCAATCAGGGCCCAGCTGGCTCTATAAAGGCTTTGAGCCAGAAGTTCCAGGAAAGTCTCTTTCTGCCTGTAGAGGGAGAAGGGCCTGGCTGCAAGGTGCTGAGTAGGACACCTAGATTGGAACAGGGCTGGGGAAGGGCCAGAGGAGCTGGGAGCTCTAGCCTGGAAAGGCCTATTAGGTACGGGGGCTGCAAGGGCAGCCATGGGTAGGCAGAGGCAGCAGGTCCAAACCCCCTCACCTGTGATGAGTGGCTTATCCTGCAGTCTGCCCCAGGGAGGGGGGGCTTGGTGGTGACTGGCAGGAGCCTACGACTGAGGCGAGGTGGGGATAGTGGATGGGGGTTCCCCTGGGAGGGGGAGACCCAGAACTGTGGGGGTACTGCCAGGGGACAGCACCCAAGACAAGGGCACCAGGGTCCGGGAGGGACACGGGGGTCAGGGGCGGCGAGGCACCGGCCTGACGGAGGCGCTCCAGAGGCTGGACGCTAATTCCCTGAGACAACCAGCAGGAGGCGCTGCTGGGTGAGTCTGTGCCCCGTGACACCCATGAAAGCCTATGCTCAAATAAATCTGTTAGTCTTTAAGGGGCCACCAGACTCCTTGTTGTTTTTGTGGATACAGACTAACACGGCTACCCCCCGATACTTGTCACTGTAGTAAACGGCGACTCATTTGAAAATAGAACTTTGGGAGTGGGGTGCAGTGGGTTCGAGCAGGGGGAGCTGGGAGCCGGGATGCTCGGGTTCTATCCCAGCTCTGGGTAGGGTTGCCAGGTGTCCAGTTTTTGACCAGAATGCCTGGTTAAAAAAGGACCCTGGTGACTCCGGACAGCACTGCTGTTTAGGCCATCAAAAGTCCAGTTGGTGATGCAGCAGGGCTAAGACAGGCTCCTTACATGGCTCCGCTTGGCTCATGGAAGCAGCGGCATGTCCCACCTCCGGCTCCTAGGTGTAGGGGCAGCCAGGAGGCTCCGTGCACGGCCCCTGCCCCAAGCGCCAGCTCCTTAGCTCCCATTGGTCGGGAACCCCAAACCCCTCATCCCCTGCCCCACCCAAGAGTCCGCACCCCCAGCCAGAGCCCTCACTCCTTCCTGCATCCCAACCCACTGCCTCAGCCTGGAGCCTTCTTCTAGACCCTGAACTCCTCACTTCCGGCCCCACCCTGGAGGCCGCATCCCCGGCCAGAGCCCACACCCCAACCCCCTGAGCCAACCTGGTGAAAATTAGCGAGTGAGTGAATGAGGGTGGGAGAGAGAGAGAGCGACAGAGGGAGGGGGGATGGAGTGAGTGGGGGCGGGGCCTCGGAGAAGAGGTGGGGCAAGGAGTGGAGCAAGGGTGTTCAGTTTTGTTTGAGCAGAAAGTTGGCAACCCTAGATCTGGGAGGGGAGTGGGGTCGAGTGGGTTAGAGCAGGGGGTGCTGGGACCCAGGACTCCTGGGTTCTATTCCAGCTCTGGGAAGGGAGTGGGATCTAGTAGGTTAGAGTGCAGGGATGGTGGGCATCATTGGAACAGACCCAGAGGCCCATGTAACCTGGTGTCTCCCCCAACTCCGCTATAGCAGATCAGTCCCATGGGCCTATATAGACTGGTATCCTGCTCCCTCATTTAATGCCCCTTTGCGCTGCCCTAGAGCTTGGTATCCCGGCCTCCACCATGAGCCTAAGCCAGAGAACTGAGTTCCTGAAGGACTGATAGGTAGAGGAAGAGCAGAGAGACAATGGGGATGGTCCAAGTGGGGTGGGAGAAGCAGAGGGGGTTGCTTCTTGCTAAAGGGAGCAGGGATAGAACAAAAGAGAGTCAGGACTCCTGGGGTCTCTCCCATGGTGTAGGAGGGGAATGTGGTCTAATGAGTTAGAACAGAGGTGAGGGTGGGAGCCGGGACTTCTGGGTTCTCTCCCCCATTCTGGGAGGGGTGTGAAGTCTACATGGGATAAGGAGGGTGTGACGAAGTGGGACTGTTCTTAATGTTTCCTCTGAATAGTGTGGGGGTGCCTCAGTTTCCCCTAGGCAGTTCTTAAGTATCTAGGGGGTGGGGTAAGGGTGTATGATCATTGCAGAGCCCTAGAGGGCAGGTGTGTGCAGGAGTCTGGACACAGAGAATGGCCAACACCCTGTTTCCTGGCAACTGATGGCCTGGGCCCTTCCCCCCTGCAAGGTGAGAGCTGAAGGGTTGGAGAACAAAGGAATCAGGTGACCACCTGGCCCGGGAAAGGAACAAAGCCCAGAGGAGGAGGGGCTGGAGGGGGTTTTCAGTTTGGGGCTGGCTGGGACATGGAGTGAAGTGCAGACGTGGTTGTCTGGCTCACTGCCCCCCAAAATGGACCCAGCTGAGGGGTCCCGTTCTCTGCACCTGCAAGCTCTGTGTTAGACCATGTTCCTGTCGTCTAATAAACCTTCTGTGTTACTGGCTGGCTGAGAGTCACGTCTGACTGCGGAGTTGGGGGGCAGGACCCTCTGACTTCCCCAGGAGCCCCGCCTGAGCGGACTCGCTGGGGGGAAGCGCACGGAGGGGCAGAGGAGGCTGAATGCTCCGAGGTCAGACCCAGGAAGGGGGAAGCCGGGTGAGCTGTGTGTCCTGAAGACAGGCTGCTCACAGAAAGGCGACTGCCCCAGAGTCCTGACTGGCTTCATGGGGAGCAGTTCCAGAGCATCGCCCAGGGACTCCGTGACAACTGGTGGCAGCGGTGGGATGTACTGCACCCCGTGGATGGTGCTTCCTGCAGTAAGTGACTGGGGAGCAGTAACACGAAGGGGGATTGCTGAGGACCAGGCTGCTGAAGGCTCGAGAGGAGCGGTTTCAGGGGCGGTTAACCCCTGGGAGTGTGTGACCAGCGAGAAGGACTGTGCAGTAACAGGGTTCCCCTGGGGATTGCAGCAGCAGTCCAAGGGGCAGAGGAGTCTGCAGCTCGACCCTGGCAAAGAGGTGGTGACCTCGAGAAGGGCTGGCACACTAGGGGTTCTCCCTGAAACCGTGGGGAGCTGAGAACACACGGGCCTGTGAGTCCACAACAACTTGGGAAGGGCGGAGTGATGGCCTGTCACCGTCTCCTTAAGAAGGACGTTGTAACCCTGTGCAAAAAGAGAGGGTTGAGAGTTGGAAAGTTCACCAAGGCACAGTTCATCCTGCAGCTGGAGGAGGATGACCGCTCTAAGGAACAGATTCCTGACCCCAACTGGGGCTATAGCAGGATCTGGGAGCAGCTGGAGCGGGAGCCAGGCATCGCCAAGACTCCTGTCCCCGACCAGACGGGGGTCTTCACGATCGGGTTCCCCATCGGGGGATCGAGACGGACGGGATTGGAGCTGAGTCTGAGAGAGCAAGAGGACCGTGGGAGACAGCGAGAGCCCGAGAAAGAGCTGCAGAAGCAGCAGCATGAACTGGCGATGGGGGAGCGGAGAGGCCTAGGGGACCTCCCCGGGGTGAGTGGGGATAGATCCTGGGGGGCCAGTTCCGCAGGGACCTCGAGACTAAATTGCTGCCCCTGGTTAAGGAGGGGGTGTGTGGATGCCACCTCACTGTCTTTGAGCAGGCTGGCGATTTGAACCAAGGGGACCCTGCGGAAAAGCCCCGGTGTCTAGCTCCCTTGCTGGGTCCCAAGGCCATAGACTCCATCAGCCAGATGTTTGGGGATGTGGACAGGCTCCCACTCCTGACCCCAACCTATATGTCTGTGTGGAGTTTCCTGGGGCCAGGCCCCTCGGACCTCCAGTGGGAGCAGAAGGTGATGGTCAATGGGGAGACATTCTTGGGGTGGCCAAAGGGCATGGCTGCATAAATCTTCCCACATCGGCCTGCAGTGCTATCGACCACCCCTGACCTAAGGGAGGGCGTGAAACTGGAAGGGCCTGGTGTAACTCCTACCAAGGAATGGGAGAGATGCTGGGGCATCCATGGGAACGTTGGTGGCTTCGAACTTCCCCAGGTCACTGGCTAAAGTGACCCCCTCAGTTCGATCTCGAAGGAGAGATGTGACGAAGTGGGACTGTTCTTAATGTTTCTCTGAATAGTGTGGGGGTGCCTCAGTTTCCCCTAGGCAGTTCTTAAGTATCTAGGGGGTGGAGTAAGGGTGTATGATCATTGCAGAGCCCTAGAGGGCAGGTGTGTGCAGGAGTCTGGACACAGAGAATGGCCGACACCCTGTTTCCTGGCAACTGATGGCCTGGGCCCTTCCCCCTGCAAGGTGAGAGCTGAAGGGTTGGAGAACAAAGGAATCAGGTGACCACCTGGCCCGGGAAAGGAACAAAGCCCAGAGGAGGGGGGGCTGGAGGGGTTTTCAGTTTGGGGCTGGCTGGGACATGGAGTGAAGTGCAGACGTGGTTGTCTGGCTCACTGCCCCCCAAAATGGACCCAGCTGAGGGGTCCCGTTCTCTGCACCTGCAAGCTCTGTGTTAGACCATGTTCCTGTCGTCTAATAAACCTTCTGTGTTACTGGCTGGCTGAGAGTCACGTCTGACTGCGAAGTTGGGGGGCAGGACCCTCTGGCTTCCCCAGGACCCCGCCTGAGCGGACTCGCTGGTGGGAAGCGCACGGAGAGGCAGAGGAGGCTGAATGCTCCGAGGTCAGACCCAGGAAGGTGGAGCCGGGTGAGCTGTGTGTCCTGAAGACAGGCTGCTCACAGAAAGGCGACTGCCCCAGAGTCCTGACTGGCTTCATGGGGAGCAGTTCCAGAGCATCGCCCGGGGACTCCGGGACAGAGGGGGAGCATGATAAAAAGCAAACAGGGAGCTGAGAATAATACCAGAGGTTGGGAGTGCAGGGCAGTCCTGAGAAGCTGTCTGATCCCTTTGCTAGCAACAAATCACCAGAGGAAATGAAAGTACTGAGGCAGCCCCAGGCCCAACCCCCTTCTCCTCCTTCCCCTTCCCATGACTCCTCCAAGCTTCCCAGCCTGGCCAGAGTGCAACCTGCCGGGGCCACGGGAGGAGACCAGCTCTGGAGATCCGCAGAGAGACGTCCCTCTGAGACTGGGGTAAGGAAAGGCTCGGATCCCTCCCACCTCCCCTCCCCAGGCAGGGTCCCTCTTGTGAGGAGTCCCCCAATACCCCAGCCTGCCCCCGACGGAGCCGGTGGATCCCCCAGGAAGCTGATGGGGCTGCGGCTCCGCAGAGGGTGCAGTCGGGGCGACAGCTGGGCTGAATCTGGGAAGATTTGGGAACGGACCAGCAGACCCTGGGAGGTGGCTGTGGATGGAGCCTGCTGGCCCCTGATACCCACCAACAAGGAGGTGCTACCCCCACATCCAGCTGCTCCAGCCCTGGATGGGAGATGTCCTATTCCCACTCCACATAACCACCCCAACCCTATTCCCACATCAGCACGGCTGCACCCCACTTCAGTCTGTGGGGGTGTGGCCTGGGTTGGCTCCTCCCTCTCCTACCCCCCCCACTGATTGGTCTGGTCAGAACTGGATTGGACCAGCTCCTGCCCCAGAAACTCCCCCCGCTTTTATCTCTCAGTATCCTGCAGCCAGTTATTGAGTGTCATTGACATGTGGCCAATCAGCGGAGGGCATGGGGAAGTGGTTGCCAATTAGCAGGCAGTGTGGGGGAGAGGAGAGGGGGAGGAAGCAGCTCCACCCCTCCAGGAGACAAAAAGGGAAATCCTGCCCCCCAGGAAAGGGAATGCCCCATTCCCTCTGCAAGGGGAAGAAAGGGGAGGGTTTTTCACCTTGTCTCACTCTACTTATCTCCAGAGCTGGTCAGGAAACTTTTGACAAGATGGTTCCATGTCTAAAACACCTGATTCATTGACATTAAAGTTTTTCTGTGAATTTCACCAGTTTCCTGACCCCAAAAAAGTTTTTTGGGAAAAAAGTTGTGACAGGGCAGATGAAAAAATCCAATTATTCCAAAACCGCTTTTTTGTTTGGGAAAATTTAAGCTAATTATTATTTGTAAAAAAAATTTAAAAGAAATAAAAAGCGGGTGGAACTGAAAATGCCACATTTAGAAATGGTCAGAACAGAGGGTTTTGATGGGGGTGGATTCTCCACCGTGGGCAATTTTGGTAGCAGGGTGGGATTGTTTTTAAGATATCTGCTCTAGTTCAAACAGGAATTAATTTGGTGACGTTCTCTGGCCTGTGTCGTAAAGGTCAGACTAGATTATCACAATGGTGCCTTCTGGCCTTGGAATCTATGATTATCCTGAACCGATTTTTGGTTTTTGGTCCATGAAAATATTGAGATTTCAAGATTTGGCTCCAATTCAGGTTGGAACAATTTTTCAAAAGTTGAAAAAAGTGGCATTGGGGAAAAAAGTTTTCTGCCCAGCTCTTTTAACTCCCTGCTCTCTCGCCCCACCGGTGCGAATGATGACAGTGGATCTGGGTTTGGTTGTTGTAGGATGGAGGAGACCACGCCCTTCCAGTCCCGCTGGGCACACCCCGCCTTTCCATATGTGAACAGCACCTTACACCCCTTCTTCGGGAATCCCTACCAGCATGGAGAAGAGGGTGGAGCCCAGCGTGAATGGAGAGGAGTTCTCTTTGCCGTCCTCTTCAGTCTGGGATTCCTACTCGGAGTAGTGGGCAATGGCCTGGTTATCTTCATTGCTAGCTTCTGGATGAAGAAGACGGTGGTCTCTATCTGGTACCTCAACCTGGCCGTGGCCGACTTCATCTTCACCTCCTTCCTCTCCATGGAGGTGGCCTATGCAGCGCTGAACTTCCACTGGCCCTTTGGCCAGACACTGTGTAAGATCCACAGTGCAGTGTCCTTCCTCAACCTCTTCGCCAGTGTCTTCCTCCTCACCGTCATCAGCGCCGACCGCTGCATCTCCGTGGCCTGGTCGGTCTGGGCCCACAACCACCGCTCGCCCCGGCTGGCTTTCTGGGTAGCTGCGGCTGTTTGGCTTGCAGCTCTGGCTCTCAGCACACCGTATATAGTTTTCCGGGACATTAGGAGCTTCCCGCTTGGGGGGGACATCACCATCTGCTACAACAACTACATCCCAGTGGGGAACTTCACTAGGGAGGAGGTGGCCACATTGTGGGAGCATCGACACTGGGCCATGGTGCTCACCTGCTTTGTGACTGGGTTCCTGGTGCCATTTGCCATCATCCTGACCTGCTACGGAGTCATCACTGCCAAACTGATGAGGAACCATGTCGTCCGTTCTGGCAGGCCCTACAAGATCATGGTGGCTGTGGTGACGGCCTTCTTCCTCTGCTGGTTCCCCTACCACCTCTCCACCCTATTGGCCATGTTGGCAAAGGGGGTGACTCCAGCAATACAGGTTCTCCATGATATCGCGCTTCCCTTGGCCTACCTGAATAGCTGCCTCAACCCTGCCCTGTACGCCTTCATGGGCTGGGGCTGCAAGGACACACTGTGGCTCTCCATAGTCTTGGCCTTCCAGAGGGCCTTCAGTGAGGCTGAGGTCCAGGCCACCCTCCCCAGCAAGAACCAGGAGAGCAGTAGGTCAGAGGTGGAATTGCCCCCATTATGATCAGGCTACTCACCTCTCCCTTCCCCAAGCTGAGGATAGAACCAGGAGTCCTGGCTCCTATTCCCCCGCCCCCAAATCTAACCTACTAGACCCCACTCCCCTCCCCTGAGCTGGGGATAGAACCCAGGAGTCCTGGCTCCCAGACCCCCCTGCTCCATTCACTACACCCCACTCCCCTCCTGGAGCTATCACCTAGCTTGGATGGAATCCTGCTTGAGGCAAACAATAAAGGCCTCAGTTTTAACATTGATTCTGGCTCTGTTTTTCCTAAAAGAGGAAACAGCAGGGAAAGAGAAGCAGAACCTGCCACTTCCCCCAATTTACATTTGTCCACAGGATTAAGGAGAGTCAGCCCACTGGGGTCAGGAGTTCAGTTCCCAGCCTGTAAGCCAGGACTTCAGATCAGGAGTTTCCGATGCTGTAAAAAAATTGTGCATTTGCCTGTTTAGATGATAAAATCTTTGGAACTGATGCCCAGTGCCCCTGCTCTGACCCACTAGCCCCCCTCTTTTCCATATCCAGGAAAGAACCCAGGAGTCCAAGGCCAGAAAGGATCATTGTGCTCATATGGTCTGACCTCCTGGATAACACAGGCCATAGAATTTTCTAAAAAATTATGTCTAGTGTTTATCTTTCAGAAAAGCATCCAATCTTGATCTATAATTTGCCAGTGATGGAGAATCCATTGCAATTCTTGGTAGATGGCTCCAGTGATTAATTACCCTCATTGTTAAGCATTGCCTGCCACAGTCTGTCTATTAAGCCCTGAGAAGGAAGTGCATGGCCAAGCTGAGGACCCAGAAGATGTTGACCATCCTCTCCATGAAGAAGCCAGGGAGGAAGATGATGTAGTCATTCAAAAACATCCCGGCGAGGAAGGTCAGGCCAAAGAGCATCAGAAAGATGTACATTATCATGTTACCTATCAGCTCTGTGTTCTTGGGGAACCAGGGTGCAGTACCCAGCCTCTCTGACTCACGAAAGACCCCCCCCCACCTCTGCGTGAACCAAAACCGATCAGAAGAAAGATTTACAAAAAGCAATGAAAAGGCCATAGGAGACCCACCTAAACCCCTGGGACAAGGGTGACAGGATTAAGGAAACTCCACTAGCCTCATTTGCGTTGAAGAGGGGACAAGGAGGCATCTCCACTAGCAGACAGAATGGAGAACAGAGATTCCAAGGCAAGAACCGCAGGGAACTCTGGGACCAGAACAGCAGAGAAGCACTGTATAATGGGGGATCTCTGCTCCAGATGTTAATGAACCCACGCCTGCACACCCCCAGCTCATTAGTTATCTGACCAATTCTAGTAATAAATCCTTTATTGGGATCCAAAATAGTGCAGCTCCCTAATTGCATTGTGAGCTCCCTCCAAGGAACACCGCCCATAGCCAGGAATGATCAGCTCCCATGGTCTAGCCTGATCAAAACAACTTTGGTGTCCTCCCTTGTTTACACATCAACAAATCTCGAGTTCTCCCTTGAACCATTGTTGTTTCTCTACAAAAACCCCGACCCACACTCAAGTAAGTGTTCTGATGCCTGGATCCAACATCTGCATCACTTCCATTGGGACTTCATCTTCTCCTTGACTGATTGTGCTGGGGGCTCTGCCTGTCTCCAGCACTCCGGATCCTCAGCTACCGCCAACACCTGGGTCCCCCGATCGATTCAAGCTTCACAGAGTGGTAAGAACCCAGCTCTCTCTCTTTTAGGTATAGCCTTCTGACCCTGACTTGTGTGATCAGTTATAGTTTTCTAAACATTACTTTTGCAATCAAATTTAAGTTAGATTTAATAGTATCAGTTTTGTTTGTTTTGGCTCCCCTATGATTATTACCTGGCAATAAATAACTTTCATGATTAAGTTGGTTGCCCCTCTCTCTCTCTCTCGCTCCCCCTCGTGGGTGGTTTTTGGTTTCCTCATTCGCTCTGCAGCAACGCTCCTCGTACCTAAGCTTAAGATCCCTGCAGCGCCCAAAAATCCTGTGGGGTTTGCTCATCAAGTGGGTGACGACCAGAACAATTGTACATGAAAGTGGGGATAGAGATGTGCTGAGTCCAGGGACATATGAGGCTGACAGTTTGGAAATGCTGCTCGACCCGGCCTGCTGAGTCCAGGGACATCTAAGGGGTCAGCTTGGGAGTGCTGGTTAACCCGGTCCTCTCAGATGGGCTCTGTTAATGTGTGTGTGTGCCTCTGATTCTGGGGCTGCAAGAACCCAGCCCTGGGGAACCGAGGTCCGGCAGGACAGCGCCATTGGGAGGGCCGAGCAGCAGGGAGAAGCAGAGCTCCGTATGAGAACACAAGCAGTACGTGGATAGCATTACAGCCCCCCCCCTCAGGTTTCAGAGTAGCAGCCACGTTAGTCTGTATCCGCAAAAAGAAAAGGAGGACTTGTGGCACTTTAGAGACTAACAAATTGATTTGAGCATAAGCTCTAATAAATGAGCGTACCCCAAAGTAACGGGCAAATCTGGTAACAAATTGATGGAGGAACGTGGGCAGCATGTGACCCTAATCACATGGTATTTGTTGAGTGGTTGCTGTGGAATGGGGAAACTGAGGCACTGACCTGAGCAAACTGTCTCTTCCTTTTTCAGACTAAGCTCCTTTAGTGAGGTCTCTCTCTCTCTCTTCGGATATTTGGTAACGTCCTGTAACTTTTAAGTTAAGAATCGTGCCTAGAATAACTGTAGGACCGTGCAGTAAGGAGTTAAAGAGCAGGGCCGGCTCTAGGCACCAGCAAACCAAGCACGTGCTTGGGACACCACTTTTCAAGGGGTGGCATTCTGGCACTTCGGGCGGCAAAAAGCCTAGAGCCAGCCCTGTTCAAGAGTTGTACCGTAAAAGTAAAGATTTTAGAGCAATAATGTGACTGCATGAAAGGGCTTTTGGTCGGGATCATTATTGAGATAAGGGAAGTAGAGATGGCTTGGGGGAAAAACCCCTTGGCTGCTCACTTGAGACAGGAGAAAACCAACAGGTTAGAGAGACGGGTAATGAAGGAGAGGAAATGCCCCTGGGAAAGGGGGTGCTTTAAGGGTGAGAATCCCCTGATTGGAGCGAGTCTGAGCTTTGAACAACATTGCACAACCTTTAAGCCGGTTGCTGCATGGGCATTGTTTTATGTATGCCTGGACAGGGTTGAAATGGTAAAGAGAAGGCAGGAACTGGAGCTGGAGAACAAGCAGTTACAACAGTGTTTGAAGAAATGTGAGACCGACGGGTGTGAACTGATAGCAGAAAAGCTCAGACTGGTGGCTGTGCTTATAGATGTACAAGAGGAGAGAGACCAGGCCGGCAGGGATGCAGAACAGTACAGGAAAGAGTTAACACGCACACAAATGTTGTTAGAAGAAGCGAAAGCAGGAAATCACTTCCTGGCAGATGAGAATAAGGCAGCAGCAGGCCATCAGGAGTGTGAGGCAGAGATTAGTAAATTGTGTGCCCAATTTAATGCCCATGGGTGGGGGGGGGTAGCGGCTGTAAGGTTGAGAGAGAATTGCGATTTTGAGCCCTCTGGGGGGGGAAAAAGAGAGACCCCCGATGCTGACCCCAAAAACCCATTGAACCCCGACTGGCCACACATGCATAACGTTGCCCCTGTTTCCACAAGGGAGCTGGTCACGGATGTAGTAAGGTGGTCTCCTAGTCAGGCCAAGGCTATTGCCGAGAGACTGGGGCCACGGAACCGTGACACAGCCGTGGCATGGCTGCCCCGTGTTTGGCAAATGCACCCCTCTGCTGATGGCATGGACTTATCCTTATGCTCTGGACATAGACTTAGGTTCTTGGGGGCGGCCTACCCCTGGACCTCAGAAATGGATGGTAAGTGCTCTTAAAATATTCCTGCCTGCGTCTTCCCTTAAGAAACTATATATAATGGAAGAGCAGAAACCAGAAGAGGCCCCCGAAGCTTACCTAATTCGAAGAAAGAGGCTGGCAGCTCTCACTGATTCATTACCCCAGACAGAAGAGAATGGGATTATCACTGCCCGTTATCAGGGACCTGGATTAGTACAGAGCACTTATGCAGGACTAAATTCTCAGACAAAACAGTCCCTGGGGGCTGTGGATGTAGAACACCTCACCTGGAATGACCTAGAGGCAAAACTCAAACGGGCAGGGGATTTGCTGCGAGAGACGGGTGTCTTAAAAAGGCAAATCAGCAAAAAGACTAGCTCAGAGCCAATACAGGCTATCACATTTGTGAATAATGGTCCTCACCCTGCCAGTCGCCCTCCCAATGATGACCCCCTACCTCCCACAACTCTGGTCTGCGCCGCCCCAAGGAGACCCGTAGGAACATGATTTGGATGGAGCTGGTGAAGTTAGGGGAAGATATGGGAAAACACGATCGTCAGCTCCTCAGCATCCTGATTAATGCTTTGTCTCAGGTGATGCAGAGAACAGAGTGAATGCAGGGAGCCCCCCCCCCCCCCTCCCGCTGTCCCAGTACGGAGTGCATTCCCCACGCTCACTCCCTGTCAAAACCAGATCCCTGTCTGAGTGGAGGCTCTCGAGGGAGTCGGCCAAGCAGTAGGGATGCCCGGGTCCCCGCGGGCCTCTCCAGCTGATCGCAAGACTTCAGTGTGACATATGGGGGAGACCCACTGGGAGGGCTACAGTGGGGAACCCAGGGATATTTGCCCAATTGCCAGTGGACACTGGAGCATCAGTAAACATTCTAAGTCCCCAGTGGATCTCCGGAGGGAGACCCACTGATAAACAGGTTATCAAGGAAAGAACTGGAGACACCCGGGTGACTCACACAAAGGGACATCAGAAAAATCACTCCGAAGAGGCACATTGGAACAACCGAGCTGGTGCCTTAGCCAAAGCTGCTGCTGCTAGTGACCACACTAGAGACACAGACCAGGTAAAACAAACAGAGGCAGTAACTACCCAGGGAAAAACTTTAGGCAAAGGAATAGATACCTTGGGCTTAAGTCCCCGTCAAGATGGGGATACAGAAATCCGGTCCTTAGCCAGGATAGGGAAAGATCCCACAGAAAAATACAGGGTTGAGCAGGTTGTAAATGTCTGGTGGGCAGTGGACACAGGTAGTCAAAGGCACTGGATAGTCGCCAGCCAGGTGAGGGGGGGACCTGATTCCATTTGTGCATGAGCAAGGGCATAGAGGAAAAGGGGGTACCTTAAACAGGGTTAAAGATACAGGGTGGTGGTCAGGCATGGGAGCGGATATCGATCTGTGGTGTGATAATTGTCTGCAGTGCGCCATGGTTAATGCTGATGGCCAGGTTCAGAAACATGGATTGGGGCATAGAGGGTAGATTCAGATGGATTACATAGGCCCTTTACCCACCACCAGCAGGGGGAATAAATACTGCCGGGTAATAGCAGATCCCTTCTCCAAATGGGTGGACGCCATCCCTACTAAAACCAACCCTGCCTCGGTCACGGCTAAGCAGCTCTTTAACATGGTTTTCTCAAAAACAGGAATTCCCAGAGTAATTGATTCAGATTTGGGATCCCATTTTGTGGGAGATGTTCTGCAAGAGCTACGTAAGGCTTTCGGCATTAAGCACCGTTTCCACATAGCTGGACACCCCGAGTCCTCTGCACAAGTTGAATGAACCAATCGCACGCTAAAGGAAGCTTTGAAAAAACAAGTAAAGTGCTCAGGGAGGGGTGGGGATGAAAAGCTACCAATCGTCTGAATGGCTCAGAGAGGCTCCATGGCGATCCATGGGTACACTCCCTTTAAAGTTATGACTGGAAGGCAAATGTGCATGCCTGAAAGTTGGTCGTTGGGAGTGGAGCTGCCTAGTGCCTGGGAAGGGAAGGTGGGAACAGATGAATGGGTACAACCGTTAGCAGAGACGATCACTGCGTTGCGCATGCGAGTGGCAGCATAGACAGGCATCGTACAGCAAAACCTGGACAAAAAACTAGACTGGGGAAAACCTCCTTTGATATGGGAATTAGGCCAACCAGTGATGGACAGAAGGTTTTCAGCAAAGGAGCACGCTGTGACACACACCTGGGATGGCCCCTGCTTTACTGTGAATCAGGCCAGCCCCAGCGTTTATCAGGTAGAAATCCTGAATGGAAAAAACGGGAAATGCTGGCGGAAATGGTTTCATTCCTCACAGCTCAAAGAGTGGAAGGGTAAACCATCTGACCCCCAAGGAATAGTAGAACTGTCTTCTCCATCCTGCCGGCAAGAAGGAACGGCACGGGGCCATTGGAAAATATGTGTTGGGTGGGCTTGTTAGTGCCTACCCCGATGTTGAGTCAGGAAAAGGCCAGAGAAGTCCTTGACTTATTATGGGCACCTTCACGTAGGTCACTGCTTCACGGTCACTCTGCACTATTGATCCCAGACTCCCCCAGTATATATGGGGGGAGTGTGGAAATTTGTTCTCTGTTCTCACAGGTCCCGAACACGAGCCATGACATCCCAATGGTGCACCAGCACCCTGCTGTTCATAAGTGTCTGGGGTCTGATGCTGTCCAGGCTCTATGCTGAACCTGCGATCCTCTGAGCCTCTGGAGGTGCTGGCCAGCTGGAGCCCAGGAAGTAAAATTGCTCTGCCACATGCCTGGATTCTATGGGAATGGGAGCAGCCCCCTGGCCCTGCAGCATCGCTACCGGTTCTACACTGTCGGCAACTCCTCGGGTTGCCCCATGGAAAGCATTGCCAATTGCACGCAGAGTGCCACCGGGGAGTCACTCACATTTTGTTACCACGCCAGGCTCCGTCCCATTCTTCTGTAAGCCGTTGTGGTCTCGAAAGGGACGTACACCATCAAACACACCCAGTGACAGCCTCCCGGGTAGCGGAAGGTGCAGGATAGTCCTGGTTTCCTCTGCTGTTTGGGGATCAACTATGCCCCTATGTGTCATCATTGTCGTCGGAACACAGACACCTCCGTTACCTGGAGATGAACTGCAGCTGTCTCTGATCACGCCAGCAGGAAAAATATCACACGGTTCCTTGTAAACTGGGAACCGCTGAATTGGACTTTAGCTGGAATGACCAGACTCAGCAAGACTGGGTAGTTCCATTAAAGGGCAGACATTGTGACAAGCTCATGCCAACAATTCAGTTTAAATTCTATGGACACA